CTTTTAAATTTATTACTAAAAATGAAGTCAACGTTATAAACGAGACGAATGCAGCTAATTTACTGTATTAAAGGACTTGAAGAGCTCTGCATATCAAGTTCTGTAACCAGGTGATACTTTACCGTATAATACAGTATTTACCAATCATAGAAGGAGGTTTGCACCGATACATATAAATGCCAATTTTCGAATGATTTATTTCGTGATTTCTATTGCCTTTCACGATATTATCTTCATCGGTCTATAGAAGATAAGCAAACAGAATTTAAGCAATCTGTTTAGATTGTTATGATAAATGATTTATAATAAAAACATATGGAATAGTTACAAATAAATAGAGTGTAATAAGAAAGCCAATCGCCATTCCTAAATTTATTTCACTTAGAAAGTTCGCAGACATGTTTTCAAAAAATTTATTTAGATTAATTTACTGTTTCATTTCCGAAGTTCGATTGTAAAATGTAATAAAAAAAAGATGAAATGGTTTTTGAATATAGAAAGAACATGTCCGAGGTTGAATGATGGAATGAAAAAAAAGTCAAAATAAGACGAGTAATCTCGCGGAAGAAAAAGTTAGTTTGTGTGTTTTAGGTTATGAATAGGTAAATCATAAAATTCTAAAATAAGTGCTGTGATTTGCAAAAATGAAGAAAAGATGAAAAATCGTCAAAACTTATCGGAAACGTTTAAAAATGAGTAATTTCAAGAGCAGGAGTAATGGAGTAAGATTGGTGACACGGGATAAGAACTAACGTTGATTGATAAATTAGTTAGGACAGATGGAATTGATCAAGTTCGTTGAAGTATGAAATGAAAAGAGGTACTCATGATGCAGGTCGTGCCGGTTTGGTCACCAAAACATCGTCCAATGATCGTCAAGTTGTCGTGTGCTGTCCCCCAACAATGCCAATCAAATGTCCAGCCAAGCAAACTTGTTTCAACTATAACACTTCCTCTGTTCCAACATAATCAATTATATAATATATTGAAACATTGTCGACTAATATTTTTAACAGGCCATTTTCACTTAGCTGTTACTGTATTGATAAGCTTGATACCACGGAACTACTTATTACTCCAACATATAAAATTAAAAAGACTAAACTGTGCTGTTAGATTAAAGTGACAAATAAGAAGTTTACCAAATGATAAGTGATTGAGAGCAAAAAAAGAATTTTGTCTTTTCTTTCGCTCAAAGGAGGATTCCTCTCGGAGGTTTGAAATCCCAAGTATTGAGATTGGATGATGAGATCTGTTTAAATTATCAGTTTCAAGTTCCGAAATTGGAAACGCTTTATGGACTTAATGTTTGGTTGTTTCGTTCGTTGAGAGGTAGCCAGAAACAACTGAAAGAAATAGATGCAATGGAGCAATCTTAAAATTGGATCTTCCGAAACAACCCTTTTAAAGGAAGTAGTATATGATCATTAAAATCCATTGAAGTGAATTGACTTGACATTCTTGAGTGTAAGTAGTAAGTTGGCGAAACTACAGAATAGGCAATGTTCACAAATGGTTGGTTTTTTAGATTATAGTGTATTCCAAAAGGTCATTGGCTACTTTTCTGTTGTCCTCTGTCCCCTCTTCTTCTCCCTTTCCTGTTTTCTTCTTCTCGGAGAGAGAGAAGGGGGAGGGGGAACAGATTAGATCCATAAATATTTCCATTAAGATTTTATCAACCGACCATTTTGAGTAATACTACAAATTTTTATTACTCCTTTTTTCCGTAGCCTGATATTATTATATCCTCAAAATACTTTAAACAACAGCTTCCTGCGGCTTTTACGTAAAAGGATCTCTTTTCTTTTGTTTGTTGTAAGTGTTGCCGCTTTTAGTCTCTTATTGCATTTTGGCATATTTGGGCAATAATTATTAGCACCTTTCCTCCTTTCTCGTATATTTTGATGTGTCAATTGTGATTCATTGGAAGCAATAACTTCGAGAAAATTTGCAACCGCGAAAATTATCTTTGGAGAAAAAGAACTCCTGCTCTTGCTCTCAGTACATACCTCCTGCTGCCTCAAACTCCATCTGACTTTAATTGATGGTCTTTCAAGTCGCAGGAAATATATTTATTTTCTAGTGTTTAATCTCAAATTAGCTATCCGTTTATTGAATGTCCAGGTGGTATGTGATCAGCTTGGAATATGGATTTTGGTAATTGAAGATAGAATTTAATCTATTATAACAATCTTTTCTTGTTGCTCGTTTCTTATCTCCATTTCAAACGTTGCATTCACAAATGAAAAAGTCATATATTGTCTAAAGGTCACACTGAGGCAATACCATCACATAAGTTATATGACAGTTAGAGCAGATTTTAAAAAACGAAGGAATTTGCATATTTCTACGATATAATTTCTCATTAAATAGCACTTCTAATTGTTGAGTCAGAGTTGCCTAAGTTTTTAGCTGAAATATTTGTAAAATCGTAACTTTGTCAAATCACTTCTAATTAGTCACAACAAAAACCAAAAATATTCTTTTAACATCGATTATGTTTAAAATCATAACGAGTTTCTGTTATAAATATGACGAAATTATTTCCATCTTATTCACAATGACTATCTGAGGATGGAACTTTAATCAAGATGAACGTTGCTTCACATCCATTATTTGAGCAATACAGGGAATACTGGCTTATATTATTTCCTATTTCAAATGAATATCGATTTTGAAATCTTCCTACAACTATATTTTAATTGATAACTTATTAAATGAGTCAAATTCGATCCATTACAATATTACTCTGATATCAATCATCGACAGAACTGATTTAATGATAAAAAAGATTCTTCGTCATTGCTCACTGGAAATGATTGACAAGAACGGAAGTAATGAACTGCAAATGACAAACAACCAACCACACAATAATCACCGAAAGAACTATCAGCTCAGCTCTAATTGATACATTCATAGTCATTCCTGTCAAGCCTCCGTACCTGTCCGCTTATCTTCATGATTGTCACTTCATAGTTGTCCTTTTTCCTTAAAGAAAAAATCGTTTGTCCGTTCGTCTTATCCAGCTCTCATTGATATTCTTTTACAAGTATAACTAAATTTACCACTTATTTTACAAAAAAATGCATATTTACATGCTTCAAAAGATAAAACGTCATAAGGGTTATTTTTCTAAAACTGGATTTATTTAGAAATTTTTCAATTTAATTTTAAAAATTAATTACAAGAAAATGAATTGGGACATCAATGACAATATAACCTACGAATGCCCTACATACGTTTTAAGTATTATTATTTAGAATAATTAATTAACAAGCAACTTTCACTTGCAAGTGGCTTGATTTCAAATATTCAAATTTTAGCCGAATATGCATTAAGCCTTAAATGTTAAGCAGTGAAGAACGTTTTATTGTTGTGTTTTAGATTTTCAAAGCAATTCAGCATATATGGAGATGTTTAATGAGATAGTCCGCTTTTGTCAAATGAGACGTGAATAACTGATATTGAAAACAGACTAGAAATCATCCACTAGCAAAGGATTTCACAAAAATAGTAAATTTTCAAAAATGACTGCTTCCGGTTCTCTCTCCCATCCATGCTTATCTACTGGTTCCACAAAAAAGAGATGTGTACCTTCAATATGAAAAGCAATAAAAAGAGATCAAAAAGCAAAGACAAGATTTTTTATGATTTCAAAATAGCTTTTATAAATATGCAATACTGCGATGATAAGAAGTAATCACTTTATTGATGCACAAATGTTTGCTCGTCCACTCTTGTTATCAGCGAAGTGGTATTGGTGATTGAGATATCTTATAAGTCTTAACAGATGTTTTGTTTAGAAGTCTAGCTGCAAACAAATTCTGAATAGCGATTTCTTTTTCCGTCAGTTGTGCGATCAAGACGATCTTTGAAAAACCAGAGATAGATTATATCATATTCTACGATTATATCATGTTCTACTTGCAATGGTTGAAGAACGGAATTTTCGCTCGTATTACATAAGTTTGTTTCCGGTTTGACTGGATAAGGCTGGGAATCGAATTTTATTCTATCTGTTTTTTGTCATTGAGCTCTTTTTTACTTCATTAATCATAGTACAGATTATTCCGAGCAATACTGTCTTCACCAGTGCTTCATTTCGTTAAAAAATGAAATTGGTAGTAAAAGGATAAGATACAATTTAAGCAGTTGAAGGAAACTTTCAGTCTTGTTTTCAGTAAAATTAAAAGGTAGAGATTAAAGGATTCCTTCACCCAAAAAAAAAAATTGTTGATTTGCATAACATTTTATTCATAAATTGTTGAAAATTCTATTCATTATCCATTGTTCATCGTTTTATCCTACCATATCAATGGAATCCTTTTTGAGAAGTTTGTTGAAGTTTATTACTTTCCGAGATTTCCAGCAGAAACGTAACTTCTATTAGACGAACTTTTCAGAAGAATGCTGCAATACAAGTAGTTGGTGTGCTCCTCCTTTACTCGTTGTGTATTTGGTGATCGCAAATGCTGGTTTGATCATTGCAATTATCACAGTTGCAGTTCATCTTGCAAATGGTTCCTTTTTAAGAAGATTTTCTGGTAAACTCTTTCTATTCATCTGTCTCTCGCTTTTTTTTCCTTTACTTCGGTTTAGATGTTGACGTCTTTAAGGTGTAAACAAATTTTACTGTTAAAAAAACTAAGATTTTTTTGAATATGGAGAAGTGGAGGACGGTCTTCATGAACGGCCTTTGAGCATTTGCCATTTTAAATTACAGTAAAAATACTTGTCCAACTTGGGACACTGTCCTGTCTTCCTATTCCCTTTTTTCGGCAAATATCAAGCATCTAAAGTTGCAGGGCTTTAACAACTTCTGAATTATTCCTTTCTCATTCCAACCAATCACTTTATAAATGTGCATGCAAGGAAGTGACAGCAATAATAAAACTAAATGATCAACTTGTTATTGTCATTTCTTTCGATGTGCTGAAAGTGTATGTATTATAGAGGTCAACTATGGGTCGGAGAAACAGTTTTCGCTTCAGTTACAAAGAATGTACGATGTGGCTGTTTATTCATTATTCGGCACACTGATATTCTTCATTATTATTCATTTGATCAGTTTGGGGATACAGTTGGAAGTCACCACGGATGGTGTTGATTATATCACCCAACAGGTGTCTTTATGTGTGCTGTTCAAACAGACATGCTTTTTACTAAAATACTTAATGATTCATTCAGGTCAATCAGCAACGTAAAGAATATGAGGAAGCTGTGCATAGATTCGTATACGACGCTTTTTTTGTTAGGAAATACTATGAGAATAGGCCAGCAACCTTTGAACTTACCGAGACGTTATCTACTCAGGTAATTACCATTTGTTAAAAAAAATAAATTATTCCAGTTCAGCAGCATGCTGTTCAGAATTTCTTCTTCCGTTTCCATCTGTGTGCGATTATTCAGGTTTCTCCACTTATTGAGGAAGGGGATGCATTAGGTTTTTTTAAAATGAAATGATAAATTATGTGAATTTCAAGCAAGCACTATCAAAATATAAAGAGATGAAAAAAGAACGAAACGTTGATAAAGCGATAAATGAAATTAGCAAACATTTAACAATGCTTAGCAAAATGAAAGTGGTTATGGACCAGCCAGAGGAAAAGCAATTTGACTCAAAATTTATGGTAAATTTTAATCTAAAGAATTGTTTTCATGTGCTTTTAAAAAATGATTGCTCATGAAATATTTTATTTGTCCAAATAATCTGACTTGATCAATTGTAGTAGTAAACTGCCACCCCATATTATACGTTTGCAAAACTTTCGAAGAATTACGGGAAGTCGATGTATAATAAATTATGACTACTTGGTGTTACTTTTTTGAACTTAATTAGCTTTTGATTTAATGAATTAAAAGGTGATAATGTTAGGCGGTTTCAGAAGTTAATTAAAGAATTACATGAAACTGGGCAAACTACCACAAGAAAAGGCGTAAACAGAATAAAACAGGTAAATCCCACGTGTAACAATTTTTATTTACAATATTTAACATTAAAATTACGTGGCTGAAGAAATATGTGCAAATGGACAACTAAATCATCAAATCTTCTGCTACTGTATTGTTTCGCTTCGTTTAGCTCCATTTTGGATAGAACAACCTTGATAGAATCCTAGTATTTCGCGTCACTCCAAAATTTCATAATTAGTTATGTCCAGATTCATCTTACTTTGTCTTCTCATACTTTTTTCCAGTTCGATTTGTCACCTTCTCAAAGTAACATAAATCCAAATAAATAATTTTAATGCAATCATTTACATATTACGTCAAGTACACATCAGTAGTTTGAATGTGCACATCACTGATAGACTACGTAAGAAAGAATCGCATCTATATAAATTATTCAAACAGTTAGATTAATTGTAGACAAACATTAGTCGTATAAAAATTTTCCAGGAAAATTTTCTGAAAAATTTAAATCACAAAGTATACCCATCAGATCTTTTGGTCATTTATTTTCTAACAAAGTTTACTAAAGTTTTAATTATTTAAAAATTTTTCAGGACAAGAAACTGTCAAAAACACAAGAAGATAAGTTATGCATAGTGTTTAGATTAGGGGCGAAAGTTGTTAAAGGCTTGAAATTTCTGGAAGAAATCCTTCCTAAATTATCAAAAAAGAAATAATTTAATTAATTTGAGCCATTCATCAAAAAACCTTATGTACATTGAAGGCGAAACGTTCGAAAGGTGAATAACAATCTGTTAGCGGATCGATTTTCTTTATCAAAATTTTTTTCATTCTAGACATTTTAAAAATTAAAATTTTTTAAAACCTATCCAGAAACATTAGGTTAGATGAAATGAATTGCAGAGTTCAGCACTCGTGCCGCAATTTCAAGAGCAATCCAAGTAGGAAGGAAATACGAAAGCGGATATGCCGATTTGACCCAGTATAGTATTAAAGATCAGAAGAGCCAAATGATAACCGAGAAAACACAGATAAGTGCTGTAAAAACTCCAAGTATTCAAAGAGCTGAAGTGTCACCTCAACGCAGAAAATCACTTCCGTCACCATCGCGGCTCTCTGTGACAAGTCGTAAATTACAGATGCTATCTTCAAAAGTAGCTGGTAAAATTTTATGGATTCTTGAACCGGACAGAACACAATCGTCATCACATCACACAAGTCAGAGTCAAGCAACAGGGAGCTTATCAACACAAATTAAATGCGATGCAAAAGTAGTGGAATTTTCGGAGCCTCCCAAAACGATTCTACCAAAGTCAATGACAAACCAGAAAAGTCTAAAAAGTTTTTCTGGACATGAAAGTGGTAGTTCGGAAAATGACACCCCGGCACATATTAACACTCTTAAGTCACTTACAAAGCAAGAGTCGGAAGAAAATATTGAAGCAGGGGACGAAGAAGAGATTGAAGATAAGAAGGTGATAAAGTGATCATAATAAATTTATTTGAATGGGAAAGAATTTTTTCGGAATTTCTTTATCTTGTTATCAGCTTTATCACCCAATAACTTTGGACTTATCATTGGCGGTGCTTTTTTGAAGAGTCAAGAATTTGTGAAAATATCGTTGTAATAGTAATTTTTCAATTTAATAATTGATTGCCTAAATATTTGGTTGATAATGTCTTTCAATTAATATAACTGTAATGATGAACTTGTAGTCAAAAAAGTTTTGGCAAATAATTTGAAATTTTGTTTTCAATCACTTTTTACAAGCGACATATTTATTGATCACAATAATTTAGAATTGTCAAAAAACTTTGTTTCATTTAAAATGATCTGATTAATACCTCAACCCTCCTTCGATGAAAATCATAGGAATTCACATTGCATTCATTTTGAAAATTGAAAATTCCTATTGATTAACCGTGACCTGCTTGGATTATCATAAAGTTTCTTTGATAATTCAAGATATGGGAAATTCATCAACGCATAGAAAGCAATAATCGGTTATATGGGGAAGATGATGGAACATTAATACTAAGTTTACCGTCCACTAATTCATTTTGTTAGTCCTCACATTTCAACGGATTGAAAGGAAAACTAATTTTTAAAAGTTAAAAAAGAAAAAAATCAATAAAGAGTGAAGAAAGGTTAGTCCAAAAAGGAACATATTAAGTATTCTTGCCGTCGCTCAAATATCTCCATTCTATCCATGCATATTTTGAAAGAAATGAAAATTTGAACGTAAAATAACAAGTAAACTGAAATTAAAAATTGATTAGAAATTTTCGGACAAAGAGGAAGACTTTGCTGTTGATGAAATTGACTTGGTACGTATGTTTTTTGTTTATGAAGTCCTGCGAAATCGTTTTTAAAAATGTAAGTCTGCGAGTGATTTCCAGAGCAGTGATCGACTTTCAACTTTAACCTCTATTTTTACTATCCTGCAAGAAGTTCTGTATTTATCACTTAGTTTGGGAGGTTCTGTATACTCCATGAAGGAAAAAAGGAATTAAAACAGACTAGAGCGCTTTCAGTCTAGTATTTTCATAGCTAATTAGAAAGTAGTTTAATTAAGTCATACAAAATATCTATAATGAAACCTGAGAATATGGAAAAAAAAGTGTCTAACGTGAACCAACTAGGCATAAGTAAGCGAGGAATGAGCTAATTGTTTAAAAATTGCATAAAAGAATATGAGGTTGGGAGGAAGTGGAAATTTTTCCTGGAAATATTTGACAGTGTAACAGCTTTTCAAACAATCGATTTACATAATCATGGAAATTTGAAAAAAAAGTTACAAAGTTATAATTTGAAAAAAAAGTTACAAAGTTAAAATTTTATTCAATATAATTTGATAGAACGAATTATATGTATTTCAAAACTTCGATCGCACAGGTAACTAATCAGTCAATTATTTCGATAAATTGTTTTGAAATCTGCTCAATGCCGTAGTTTGTAAATCTGAAAACTAGCCAATCTTTTAAAATTTGCGTTTCTCTATTGTCTTCAAATTTTTTCAGATTCGTAAATTCTAAAAACATTCTCATTTCTTTCTCAAAATTTACAAGCTTAATCTTATTTTGCAGTATTATTTGAACAGAGATACCAAAGCAAAGTTTTGATAATTTTGATAACGTGAATGTGTTACATAAGCAGATAGATGAATAGCTCAAAAGTATAGACTGTACAACGAACAACTACCGTATTCCTCTAAAAGTGCAGGGTAACTCCACCTCCATCCTATTTCATGTTTGGGCATTACATCTGCCATGTTACAATTCAGACACAGCTATTTTATTAATTTCACTGATTGGAGCTCAAAAAGAGAAGTTTATAGAATTCTACTTGATCCATTTCCTAACGATCATGTGGTCAGGTCATAGTAATTAGTAATACGAGATTGGTGTTCACAAACGAACCATGTTGTAGATTAATAAAATAGAAAAAGGCAAGTTCTGATTAAATCTAGAATAACACAAAAATGGCTGAACATTGCTATTTGCGTTAGGCTATGTTTGAGTATGGCTCGCTAATAACAAGAAATGTGTTCCGGGCAATTTCGTTATTTGTTTGATGGTGAATTTGTCACGGATGGATTTCGGTTTACTGATACAAAATCATTTTCAGATACATGGTTTTGTATCTTAAAACCGAAATGCATCTGTGTTACATCACTCACTGAATAAAAGCGAAACGATCTTCTTGACTTCTTTAAGCTCGAGTTTCCTTATCATTGTCAAGCAACAAACACTAAAAAAGACCATAAGAATTACCCTACTTAGTTATCAGCACTGATAAATATATTGCTTTTAAAATGTGGCTGGTTATGTTAATATATAAATGTGAAAATATAAATGTATCATAAATGATATCATGTGAAAATATTTGATAACTTATGATCGATTGATAGGGTGACAGGATTGCAACCAAGGGAAATGACGTTGCGGGGTAGGATTTCGGGATTTCTTAAATTTCAAAAATTTCCATCCTCTGATATTTCTGAAGTCTGAAGAACGAATATGTGAAATACGAAGATTTTCTTCGAAAACGAAAGTTAATGATTTTGTTGAAATTAAAAAAAAAACTTTCAAAGCCAACTTATTATAAAACAAATAGATGACTTGAAGTGGGCTATGTGTAGCTGTCTAATTACGTATTTATGGACTGGACAACGGCATACCACTGAGTCATGCAAAAATATGCAAATTGAGATTCCGTCTGGCAATCTTATAAAATATCCACGTATTCTACTCCAATTGTTAAGCAGCATATATCAGTGTATATCTAAGGGCGGAAAATGAGTGGAGGATTAGTACTACTGTATGATGACAAAGAAGCCCATAAATACTTCAACTAATCATAAGACTAGAACTGCTTTGTACTAAACACCAGGTGGACGGGCTTTCTGCTTTGACAGCTACTGTAATTCGCCTATTCAGTAATTACTGCAGATTTATATGTTCAAATTATATTATTTATGAGTATTTGTTGATTAGTAGAGCAACCAATTGCTGTGTTATGTTGGCATAGAGCACAATTGTGAACTATGTCGCATCAACAGATGCAAGCTTTACGGTAAATGAAAATGAATTTTATATCATCGTCAATGGTACAAAATGATTTGTGTGAATTATAAAAATTTAGATAGCCTGGATTAAGCAAAAGTTTATGAGATCAAAGATATTTTTAAAGGCAAACTTTTCATCCTTATGCAAAATTTTCATGACTGTATGCATCAGTTCACTAGATGTTTCTCTATGGTTTCATTAAATTTCATTCTTAATTATTATAGAATTTGCAATTTCATTCATTTCATTTTTTCTATTAATTTTAAACTTGTCATTTGCTTCTAAAACTTTGATTCTATCAGATTTGAGATCATTTTTTGCCATTTATGTTTCATGAAACTCAATTCCTTTCTTTGCCAAATTTGAATTCACACGAAAATCTTTAGTCCATTAATAACTGAAGGCATGTTATCGATGCTCAGCAAGAGGCTAAAAAGTATTTTTTAGCGGGATATCAAAGTGATCACTTTTATTTCCAGCTGGGAATGAATATACCTAAAAGATACCGATTTCCAGGTGCTCCTTTCGACATCTATGCATTTTATCTTTGCTGAAAATGAGCTTTGCTTAAATATGTCATGAATTCTAATCGTTAAAAAACTAGAAATTGAAGATTTTATTGAATTATCAAGTTAATTCTCAAAATTTCCAATTATACATTCGCACTTAAGTTAATTATAATTATTAAGCAGCGGCTCAGTGCACTTCTTGCTAACTTAAATTGATTTCAAATCAACATCACAAACATTTCATTGGAATATTCAATTTTGTGCTTGGACTGAATTACTGTGTAAAGAACTAATTGGCCTGTAATTTGTACAACATAATTATGAAAAATGGTCTACTTCAGGTATTCAACAATGATATAAATATACGAGTTAAAAACAATTAAATTTAAGTTCGAATAAAAAAATCTAAGCTTGTATTTCTTATTGGTATTTCCATTTTTATTCTAATTCATTCCAAACTGTTTTTTCATCGTTGACACTAAGCTTGTTTTTCTATTTATTTATTGAAATACTTGTGAAAAAGCTGTGACACATTTCAATTAATGCATAAATAGACTTAAAAAATTTCAAATCTTATGATTAGTTGATGATCTTTAGCATTGTATGACATAGTTCTATGATTTACTCAATATTTCAATTTTGGATTATTAAAATTCAATTTTAAAGCAAATAGTTTGATATCTGTTTACAGTTGCTTGAATTTTGGTCAGCATGAATGAAAGAACCCAGAAGAAGAAATTATAGCTGCCGTTCTTCCCATTAATCAACAAAAGACTGATCATCTAGGGATATACTGTATCACCTGAATTTCAACAAAATGATGGTCAGCAATCGGTAATAAAATGGTTTCCTAAACAAGAAACTGTTCGAATATTCAACGCAGTAACAACCGGAAAGCTCTGACAGTGAGTTTATCTGTTAATTTGACTTGTAGTTCAAGTTCAAGGTTCAAAACGAGATACATTAAGGAGAGGAAAGGCAGTGTTAGCGATAAGATGATTCATTTTATCCTTTTTTGCATACAACTTTGAAAGTTGAAGATAAGCTCCAAAAGAACTGAACAAAAGAGTGCACATTATAACGTACAAGTGGCGCTATTAAATTTATTGAGATAGTCAATGGTTAGCACCGCCTGATAATTCGTCCCATATTGGTGGACGTTGATAACTTATACTAATTTTTTCCATAAAACTGATTTCGTCATTATTAGATCGATTGTTCAATAACACCATGTAGCAAATCTTTTCAAACAAGAATGCAAAACTTTTATTTCAGGAAATAATTAACTTTCTTTTGAGATAGTATTAGTATAAAAAGTTATTTTAAATAGTAACTTAATACTAGCTTTTTTATACTCTTACTGCCTCAAAAAGAAGTTAATTATTTTTAGAAATGAAATTTTTGCATCTTTTGGAATGGAGATTTGCCACATCCTCAAGTTTTAATAATTTGTCAACCTTTTTCAGCTATATATAAATACAACTTGTAGAATTTTATTTATATTTTGACAATGTATTTTCCAAATAGCCCATAAAAAGCAGCAGAAAAATGGGAAAAAGCTTTAAAAAAAAAGATTTGAATCAAACATCTACGATTTAATATCCGTAATTTGTTAAAACGCTATATCCAACTTGAGTTATTTTTTGAGTACGGCCGATTTTAGAATATAGTCTGTTGTTCTTATACTACTGAAACAGTAAAATACTTCAGGCCTTTCTCGAAGTTTAGTCCACACAGAATTAAGCTTCATCACTTGTCATTCTTATCACTATATAACTGCCATTATTGTATAACTATAATTATTGATAAAAATAAGTACTGTTGGTATTTTTCGTTTCATAATCATTCTTTGATGCAGTTTAGGCCATCACAATTAAAGCTAACCCCTTTTTAATTGCTTTTTTGGAAATGAATTTCATAAAAGGGGCTATTTTATAAAAAAATAAAATCATTTTCTAATTAAGATGATTTCAAGTTAGTTCGCGTCACTGTCCATGTCAACTCACTCAATTTTGATATTATCTCATCATCTTTAAACTAGTGTCCAGTGTCACCATTTTCCGAGAAAGAATGAATTGTTCACAGTTTGATTGCAGTAGATCAAAAAATGGTAGTGACTTTATTTTGTTTGCCATACTTCGGGAGAATTTATAATGAAAGGAAAATTACGATCATTGAAAACAGTGGGAAGGTCTCTTCTCAACCATTATGCATCAAATCGAATATTTTTCAACATTTGATACAGAAAGGAAGTCTCTACTTGCTGTCTTTCTTCCAGTCCATGGAATATAATCATGTGGAAAATTGAACTTACTAAATGTTATCCATGCAACCATAACCGTCATTAGCCAACCCTGATATAATATCTCGAAGGTTCCAGTTATCCTAGAAACTTTTATCAACGTCTGCATTAGCTTCCTCCTTAAAAAGAGCTGCTTCTAACGTAAGCTTCTGAAATTATTCGTTAAATATTTTTGACTTCACTTAGCATCTCAACTCAAGACAGTAAAAATGAAATTGACACGTTGAGTATTTCACCTATGCAAATTTTGTTGCTGATTATTGTGTTAGTTTTTATATTTCTTCCTTTCTTTCCCACTTTCAATAAATATCCATACAGATCCTTTGGATACATTCAATATATATTGACAATGAAATGGATTACTTCCCTACTTTGACATAGCGCAAAAGTGTGTCGAAATCCATTATGGATGAGAGCAGAAGTATTATTCGAAAGGCTTTTTCAAATATTATAATTTAAAGTAGAATAGCGTAAAATATGTATGAGAGATGAAAATATAGAAAAGTTGCAATTCCCTTTGTTGTAATTTTTATCTTTTTTGATTCATCGCGAACCAATTCATAAATACTGAATTAGCGTTTGTTTTCCTTTCCATACTTCTCAATATTTATTTTATTTCTTTTATAACGCTACATCGTACTCATTTGATTGTGGGAAATGAAGGCTTTTCACCAGAAACTTTCAGCCGTTTCAACTATTAAATTTCTTGCAATAACCAACAACTGCTGAGCTAGTTTGGCCCTAAGTTATATTTATTTAAAGCTAAAATGAATTGGCATACTATTGGCAGAAAACAAAAATCAATATGCCGACTAACGTATGAGTGTTGCGACCAAAATTATTGATATTTCCTGGAAGAAAATTCTCCTAAAACAATTTTCAACAACTAAAACCTTTACTGTCAAAAGGGATGCAGCAACTTTACATTCACCAAATCTAGCAGAAAAAATGGCTCCTTTGAGAATTAGACCTTCAGCATTTGTTCATGATGCCGATAATTCAAAAGCAGAATGAATGAATTTCATGCTTCCCCGAGTAAATGGGTTGATTTGCAAGTTTGAAAATTTTTAATTCACGTGAGAATGAAATATAAACATTTTGTTGTAACATTTTGTTACTGATTAGTGGTAATAAGCAAGCGATGTATATATATATATATATATATATATATATATATATATA